ACTCTCCGATGAAGGATTTCAGGCCTAATCGCTGCTATTTCTGTCCATAAGAATGTAGAGCTGATTATTTGTTTCAAATTGTAAGACACCTCATTTCTGATAGGAATAATTTAAAAGATAACACCACAATTTTGGTAATGTCAAGCTCCATTTCAATGGGATAGATACCGATTTGATTGGCTTTTGACTTAGTTTATGAATGCTGAACTAAGCATAATTTGGTTTTGTATTGGTCCAATAAGATACAAATTATGTCCAGCTACATTTATAATCCTCCCTCCTTATCTTTTGTCATTAAAATCATAAAGAGAGTTAGGTATTCTGGAAGGAGTTCTTGTTCTAAGTTCTAAATACCGTTTTCTTAAATCTTCTTAAGTCAATAAATTGTCTAGAGACTTGCTGTTCCCAATGCACTGGTTCGAAAGATATTTCTGAACAGAACCTCCAAGTTAATATTTGCTATTCAATATCTTGATGGAGAGTTTGTAGATTTATTGGCACAAGGAATGGACTAAATTAATTGGGTATTCTTCAAACCTCCTGGGAAAAATTATATAAAATCAAAAAGTAAAAGTAGGCCACATTATTTAATTATCTTAAAATGCTATGCCATACGTGGTTCTGGGTAGCGGGAAATGTGGCTATGTTTTTATGTTAGGGGAAGGTAACTGGAGTAATAGAAATGAAGAGGTTAACATTCTTCAATGCTTTGCAGCATCTAATTTTTCTCTTCATGGTTAAGATGGAAAAATCCGTGGCTTAGCTGAAATGTTTACCTGTTTTTCAGTCACGGAATTTCTCTTTTGTACGTATATGGAAATCAACTAGGGAGGGATAATTCGATAATAACCGGTCAATAACAACGAAATAGATTGGATTATCACATTGATCACATAACATAAGAGTCACCACTGGATGCTTAGTTTATGGTAAGACAAATCAGTAAATCATGCTTTATTCCGAAATTTAAGTGGAACCAAAGGGACCCTTTGACTCATTAGTGTGCCTGCCATAAACAGTTTGTGAGACTCTAATTTATAATGCAAGTCCTTGTTGCTGGACATGATAATGCTCTGCACATGCACATATATTTAATATTGAAGAGTCTTGTCATCCAACGTAATTATACTTTTGGCTATTAGTCTATTTATTCATTCAGTTCCATGTCTCCAAAGGCAAGATTTTATGTTATGCTTCAGAAAAATCTGATATTCAAATTTGAGCCTAAACAGAAAAAGAAAAAAATTGATTTTGCTCTCTGCTCCGATGTCCTAAAGCTTCTCATTTGATCTTCATATGTTGCAGGATCAGATGCGTGCTCTAGACATGATCAAGAAAGATTCAAAATTAGCTACATTGACAGTAGTCCAATCACCTCTGTTTGATGTAGAGATAAGGGGTGTTCCAGCACTCAAGTTTATGGGGGATATAGTTTGGAGATGAAGCTTACATAACTGATAAACTATGTAACGGTATGTCCTCCCTCTGAAGTAAGACTCCTGTGTTCCAGCTTTATAACCATAATTTAGTGCATGTTTGCTAAGATTAAGAAGTTTTACTTATAAGGAAATAAGTTTTAAACAACTAATTTTTTTTGTCGGTGAAAGTTGAAAATAAGTTACTTAATTTTATTATTATTATTATTTTTTCCTACCCATCAAAAAAAAAAAAAAAGAATTTTTTTTTCCTGAGAGTAAGAAAAAGTTATTCAAACGTGTTTGCTATAAAAACATTTACAGATTTACTTTTTCTTTTTAAGCTTAGTCAAACATGCTCTTGCTAATCGTTCCAATTATGAAACGTGCTCGTCTCCTCATGGCATGTTTGATAATGTTGGATTAAACATTGCTAGATAGTGTTAAATGAAAAAAGAAGATAAACTCGTCTGTTGTAGTGTATAGTGTTGAGTACAATCTAATTCTAGGTACAAAATATGCACTAAAGTTCATTGAAATAGGAAAAGAAAATAAAATGATTTGAGGGGTGCGTTGAAATTCTTCTACTACTCGACTAAAAAACTAGACGATGACCTTATGCTGGAACTTCATAAATAGAAGAATAAAACTTATCATATTAGCCTACTGATCTGCTGGTGAGTTTCCTTCCCAATAGCAATGCGGGAAATAGAAATAGAAATCAGCTAAGTGTCTGTTCCTGAAAGTGTAAGCAATGCGTGATTTTGTACATGATTTCATGTTCACGGCATTATTGAGTGTTGGCTGCATATTATTACCCCTTACCGTTTGGTCTCTTTGCATTTCAGGAACATGTTTACTGATAGGAAAGTAGAGACTGGCGCTTGTGCTGAAACCTCCCTTCCTTCTCGAAAGAATGTGCTCGAGCCTCCGCTTGCATGTGCATGTGGACACGTGTGCACTGGGATAGAGATATTGAAGCCACCAATAATATCTTTGTTATGTTTTGAAAGACAGTTGATACATTACTATGGAAGAGAAATTTGACTCGAAAATATCAGCTGAGATTTTGTCTTGTATTATCAACTTATAACAGTCCGGCTTAAGGGCCTGTTTGTTTTTTATTCTCAAATTTTACAGTAAATCAATCCTCATTTTCAACCACACATTCTTCAATAAAATAATATTTTCCATTACATCAATAATTTTTTCTTTTTTTTCAACCACACATTTATCATCATATCACTATTCAAAAATCAATTCTTCCCTAAAAAATCTCTACCAAACAAGCACTAAGTTTCTACCTTGTTCGTGTGAGCTTGTAGAACCTAGAGATGCCGAGGTAGAAGAATTTTTGAGTAGCTGAAAGTCAAATATGTAGAAAGAAAATCATACTGTTATAAAATGTGTTCGATAGAGGTTCAATCACTCTCTATGAGGCTGACAATTCCTGCAAGCTCACACCATTTATGTGCCAAATGATATATTTGGTAGGCAGTATTAGAGAGGATTAAATAGTTTAACTTGTGAATTTTAGCATCGTTTTACTTATTTAATATTGTTTAGTATATAACATACTGAACTTCTTACAAGAGTTGCTCTCTTGAGAGCTCAGTAGTCCACTGACCAATAAGTTCAATAATTTGCAAAATTTCAAGACCTATACGTTAAATTACCTTGTCAAGAAATTCAAGTGTTGTAGAAAGAACGAATTTATTTATTTATTGGATTCACTCCTTGACATGCGTTTGTTACTTAATAATTATTTTTTATGAATTTGAACTTTCTTCCGGCTTTCACTGTATATCTTTCTTCCCGTCACACTGAATAATAATCTTCCATGATATATCATATTTTTATCCTTGTAGAAGCAACATATCAATCAAACCAAAATGAGCAAACAAAACTTGTCCTTGCTGGAGTTCCGAGAGCTGATCTCACAGTCGGTTTAGATTTTTACCTGGGCTTCTCATTGTTGACATGAAGAGTGTGCTACGATTCTCTCTTGTTTGATCAGTTAGTCTTTTCTCTTTTTTAAGCAAAGGATGCACTTAAACTCTCCGTGGAGAGAATAGTGTTGGAGGAATCTGCTTTTTGTATCCGTATCTTGGCTTTCCGGTTATTTATGAAATTTCCTTTTCAAAAAAAAAAACTTGTCCTTGCTAACTTGGACACAAACTATAGGTTTATTTATTTTCAAGAATAAATCCACTCCCGTCATTCAAATCTTCTCCCTTTTTAGTCTAGAAGAAAATGAACAAAAATTCAAAATAAGCCTCATTAGGGCATCTCCAATGGCAATACCACATTTCATCAAAATTTAATGCGAAAGTGCTCTAATGTGGCACCAAATTGCGCACCATTTTGGAAAAATGGTGCAAAGTTCAATTTGCCTCCTTTTTTTATTTGTTAAAAGAATTGTTGGAGGATATTTGTGTCATTTGTATTATATTATTATTTGTATTTAAAATAAATTTTAAATGTTGAAAATAATAAGTACAAAATTAATTAAAATAAGAATAAAAAAATTAAATAGATTCTACTAATTGTACTATTTTTAAACAATATATTTATTAATGAATTTAATATTTTCCTCAATTTAAAGTAATAATTTATTTAGTAATTTATATATTTCTAAAATAAATAAATAAACAATATTTCGAATAAATAAATGACTAAGAATAAAAAAGAGAAGAAAATGATTAAATACTGTTCATTTGGTATAACTTTTGATGTAATGGTTGGAGATAAACTTTAATTTGGTGCAAGATTTGGTGTAATTTTTGGTGCAGCACTCGAAATGATCTTAAAATCAAATTTTAATGAGATTGGTGGACTCCTAACTTTGAGATGATAGTTTCCTTCATATGTAAGAGCATTTAGAATGGTGAAAAAGTAGTTGAAGCCTCCGTTTGGGCCACCGTTTTATCTCATTAAAATGAAAAATATGACCGCTATCAATCACATCAACATTTAAATTCAAATTTTCTATCTCTCGTGTGAGCCCCAATATCGACTATATTTTTCATTCTCATTCTACAATAAGGTGACTCAAATAGGGTCGAAAGGGATATGGTCCAAAATACCCCAATCCCTCATCCCCATTTACCAAAATGACCATCTCAATATCATGAAGTTTGGATAAATGGCAATATATTGAATTGAAGGACAATTTGTGAAGTTGAAAATTAATATTGTCATGTCCTTGTAGAATCAACATTCTTTTCTTCAAAATTGGCACAAACTGACTAATGACAAGGGATCCTGTGATTACAGCAAAAAGAATTTGGACAAATCTCATTAAAATGGGATCAAATAGACACAATAACTTACTTATTTTTAATTTAGAGGAACAAAAAGAATTACTTATTCACTTATGAGTAGATATTTTAAACTTGGCCAAACGTGCTCTACGAAGGAATGTTCTGGAAGCCACTCCCAGCATCACTCTCTAAAAGCCCTAGTCTACTCTCTACTCTCATGCCAAAACCCCTTAGCATCTGTATACATTTCTCAACTCCTTATCCACACACAAAATCCTCTGCGAACTCCCCCAAATTTTCCAGAATTAATCTTCAGATAAAAATGGCATCTGCAAATGCTATTTCCACGGCCTCAATTCTCTCCTCCCCCTCAAAACAAGTATTCCTTTCTCATTTTTACTTTTTTTTTTTTAGCAAATTCTTGAGATGGCCTTTTTAATTTACAAATATTTTGTGGATGTTTTATGCTTTTCTAGACATTTCTTGATACGGGTTTTCTTATTTATATTTTTTGTGGATTTGTTGTCTTAGGGAGGATTGAAGAATAGGAGGGCGAACCATTTACAGCAGGGGCAGAAGTTTAATTGCAGGCAATCGAAGAACCGGTTTGTGGTGAAGGGTGCAGCTAAGGAAATTGCTTTTGACCAGAAATCCCGGGCTGCTCTTCAGGCCGGTATTGATAAACTCGCCGATGCTGTCGGTCTTACTCTCGGTCCTCGGGGTAATTCGTGAAATCATACTTCTACTGGTTATTTTTGCAATTGCAGCTCGAGTTTTTGAATCTGTGTGAAAATGGATTTTGTTTTTGCTTCTACGTCTTCTTTTGCAAGATAGTATCTTGAGAGAAGCAAAAAATAGATGGCATTAATGATATATCATAATCTTTTAATTTAAGTTTGATGCTTATTAATTTGTCACTTCGCTGACCATATAACCAAAAGTAATAAAATCTTTTAAAAATCTATGCTTCCTTGGATGAGTTATGATTAGTTTTCAGTAATGTAAGGCATTATGTAGAGAGGGTAAACTTTGATAACTGTCTTCTCTTATTAGCGTAGCGCAGGAACAAGAAGTAGTTTGAGCGTCTGCTGAAAATAAGGAAACACTTTATTATTGATGCAACGTTTTGAACTAAAAAGTAGATCTTATTCACTGTCAGTCTATAATATTAATTTTTTACAAGTGATTTTTCAAATTACTATATATATTCATCAATCGTTAGCTCATATTAACCTTTGCATTGACTTGATAGGAATATAGTAAACATGACAGAATACAAGGCCACAGCCTAAATTTTCTACATGTCAAATGTGTACGTGTTACATTAACTTGATGTCATTATGATAAGAAACTAGAATAGCTTAAGATTGGAGATTGAACAAATATGGAATTTTATTACATACAAGTTTTGAGATGCGTATATTAGCTTTATCTGATCTCATACAGGGAGGAATGTAGTATTGGATGAGTTTGGGGCTCCAAAGGTGGTTAATGATGGAGTTACCATTGCTCGGGCTATAGAGTTGCCCGATGCTATGGAGAATGCTGGTGCTGCTTTGATCAGGGAGGTTGGTCCTTTATTTTTTAATTTTTTTTCTCTGTTCTATTCCGGGATACTCAACTGAAATTTCATTCGTTTGCTATATATTCAATAATGCATGATTTATGACGTCCCTTGGGGCCTTTATTTTCACTTAAGTTTCCTATATTTTCTTACTTGACCCAATGATCACATGGGAAGGTTGCAAGCAAGACAAATGATTCTGCCGGTGATGGGACAACAACTGCATCGGTTCTTGCTCGTGAAATTATAAAACTCGGTCTATTGAGTGTTACTTCTGGTGCCAACCCAGTTTCCTTGAAGAAGGGTATTGACAAAACTGTGCAGGGCTTAGTTGAAGAGCTTGAAAAGAAAGCTAGGCCCATTAAGGGGCGCGATGATATTAAAGGTATTGTTCTTATCATGTGCCAATCATCATATTTTGTTTGGCGACGATCACCACTAAATAAATCCACTGTACTAATGATTTGATCTGTTGTAGCCATTGCCTCTATCTCTGCTGGAAATGATGGGATCATTGGAACCATGATTGCTGATGCAGTTGACAAGGTTGGACCGGATGGTGTTTTATCAATTGAGTCATCGTCTTCCTTTGAGACAACTGTTGACGTGGAAGAAGGAATGGAGGTCTATTCTTATTTTCGATTCCATTTGTTTTAAACATATTTAGTTATTATGTACCACCAGTTGAGGATAATTGGTTGTGATATTTATGTGTTGTGACACATGCAGATTGATAGAGGATACATCTCCCCCCAGTTCGTAACCAACCCTGAGAAACTGATTGTTGAATTTGAGAATGCAAGAGTATTAGTAACGGACCAAAAGATCTCAGCAATTAAGGACATCATACCCTTGCTTGAGAAAACCACTCAGTTGCGAGCTCCTCTACTCATTATTGCAGAGGATGTCACTGGAGAAGCTTTGGCTACTCTTGTTGTCAACAAGTTACGAGGGATCCTTAATGTTTCTGCGATCAAAGCACCTGGTTTTGGAGAAAGGAGAAAGGCTCTTCTTCAAGATATTGCCATTTTGACGGGTACAAACCTCTACTAAAGATCCAATGTGTTGCTTCTTTGAGTGCTGTTTCTTGATTTCAATTTTGTCCATTTGAATGGTCTAACTCAATCCAAAGGATAAATTAGGGGCCCAAGGATAATGGCTCATCTTTCATGTTCTACTCATATTTCATTAATTGGGTTTGAGATTTTCCATAAAGAAAGATGGCAGGATTTCATTGATCAGTAGTACAAGATAGACTTGTTCATGCCTGGGAATGTTAGTATTCTGGGAACTGACAACATCGATGGAAAGGGAAGTGTACAGATAAGTTTTTAGGTGGATCTCAGATAAAGTCTTACATACAAGATAAAGCACTTTGCTTGATTTTCTGATTTTCTATTCATGCAACTGAAATATGCTGCTCGCTTATGTGATGTAGGCCCAAGCTCTACTTAGCCTAGAACTACCTGCATTTCACCTTACTATGCAAGCAGGTTGAAGTACATGCCAAATTTTGATGGTCTATAAAATCCCAGATTTTGTTGATTTAGCTTTTTTTAGTAGACGAGTCACCGAAAGAAATGCGCTACTAGAGCTGATTTCTTTCCTCTTTTGTTTTTCTGTGTGTGGGGTGGGTTGGGGGTAGGTTACAGGACAGAATTATGTCTCAGCAAATTTAACTTGCCTCAGTTCTTCTAAGGAAATCATAAGTTGGTTTTATATTCAAAAATCACTAGAGATATTTTTACTGATTTCTAGAAAAGAAAAAATCTAGTGAATTTGATTTTATTGGAGAGTTCACGCGTCCTATGTTTTGGTGATGAGGAAATGAAATGCTAATGAGACAAGTTTCTCCTGGGTCCATAATAATTCAGTTTCCAGACAAAATCAGGCAAGACATAACCTATTGCTAATGAGAATTTAAGAATTTTGTCAAATTCCTACTTGTATTATTTTATATCATGGTTTTCTATCAATGATTTTTGGTCGCTAACTCTACGAAATGTACGGGAGTAGTCTGATGTGCAAATTTGCTGTTTTTTTCAGGAGCTGAGTTTCAAGCTAGTGATTTGGGTCTGCTCGTTGAAAATACTGATGTCGACCAGTTGGGTATTGCAAGAAAGATAACCATCTCCAAAGATTCCACAACCCTCATTGCTGATGCTGCATCAAAGGATGAGCTACAAGCTAGGATAGCCCAACTGAAAAAGGAGTTGGCAGAGACAGATTCAGTTTATGACTCCGAGAAACTTGCTGAGAGAATTGCAAAATTGTCTGGTGGTGTTGCGGTTATTAAAGTTGGTGCTGCAACAGAGACTGAGCTTGAGGATCGCAAACTTCGTATTGAGGATGCCAAAAATGCTACATTTGCTGCCATTGAGGAAGGCATTGTGCCTGGTGGAGGTGCTGCTTTAGTTCATCTGTCAACTTATGTCCCTGCAATTAAGGACAAGCTTGAAGATGCAGATGAGCGACTGGGTGCTGATATCATTCAAAAGGTAAAAAAAATGCTGTACTTTTATCGTCAAACCTTTCAATTTAAATGTGTTGAATTTGCACCTTTCAATCGAGATTTTGCATTGTTTACTTCCACGACTTGTGCTAAGGTGCATTAACAAGATTAGGAATTGTGATCATAGATAAAAATATTTCACTTGGGTTAGGTTTTCGGTTTTTGTTCTCCTGTGACCTAATTTTCCTATGCTACTATCTGTGGCACATTGCACCCTCTGGAGCCAGTCCTAGTCAAATTAGGAAATGTTTCTTTCACCTTAACAATGACATAGGATATAAGAAGAGGTACTGGTTTTTATTTTTCTATATAATACCACCAGATTAGATGTAAATACAAGGCCTCGTAGTGATGCTGACACAGCACCTTACCTGCAGATGTTCTAGTTTTGTTTGCTTCTGAAAATTGGTATTATCTAATTTCTAATTTTATGATTGTGATGTGGTTTTAGGCACTAGTGGCACCTGCATCTCTGATTGCCCAGAATGCTGGGATTGAAGGCGAAGTGGTTGTGGAGAAAGTGAAGGATAGTGAATGGGAGGTAGGTTACAACGCTATGACAGACAAGTATGAGAACCTGGTAGAAGCTGGAGTGATTGACCCGGCTAAGGTCACTAGATGTGCTTTGCAAAACTCAGCTTCAGTTGCTGGAATGGTTCTTACCACACAAGCCATTGTCGTGGAGAAGCCCAAGCCTAAAACACCTGCTGCTGCTCCCCCACAAGGCCTTGCCGTTTGATTGAAAAGTACTATATCTCGGTGGGCAAAGTGACTATTTTTTTTGGGACTTCTGTTTTTGTAGGTCTTGAACAAGTTTTTAGCCGATAAGCCAGAGGCGAAAATGAGTTGCCTATGGCTAAAATTGTTGTGATTGGTAATAATTCATTGTTTTGATCAATTTGTCTGTATGATGATCCGGGTTTAGTGTAACAAGTTTATGTTTGGACTTCATTTTAATTCAAAGCTTATTTTTAACTATATATTTTCTTATAAAATAATTTCATGTGAAAATTCAAAATTTTCTTTATTTTTTAATTATGCATTCTTTGAAAAATTATTATTTTGAAATACATTATTTTGATTAGATCATCCCAACAGGACATTATATAAGTAGGAACCAACCCTTCTGATGTCTGAGTAGAGATAGAGATGGCAACAGGGCAGGGCGCCACGCCCCGCCATGTCATGCCACTCCCCCACCCTGCCCTCGTCCCGCCCCGCCTTAGATAGGGCAGGGGCGGGTTTGGGGTGCGAACTTGCCCCGGGGTGCGAATTTGCCCCGTTTCCTGTTCCGTTTATTTATTTATTTTTCTTTAAAAACTTTCAATTAACTATTTTATGTTTTTAATTTGTAATTAATTATTTTTTTTATTCTTCATGGGGCGGGTTCGGGACGGGGCACTCCTTCCTCATCCCGCCCCACCAACCCATCGAGGCGGGGTAGCATTGGGGCGGGGTATAACTAGAGAAATCAATAGATTGAATTTTGATTCGAATTTGATGAAATTAATGAGAGATGAATTTAGGGTTTCAGTTCGATAATCCAATCAAGATAATTGTTAACTAAATGAAACAATTATGGATATATGTCAATTCGATTCAATTCGTTTTAATAATATGATATATTCCATGTGTTATCCCATGAATTATATATATATACACACTAGGTGCAAGCAACGTGCAATGCACGTTTGCGTAGTTTATATTTAATAGTTTTGTTTAAAAATTAATTTGTTATTAATAAAGATGTAATTTTTTTGGTTAATTAAATAATTAATGATGTAATGTTTATGTAATTGATAAATAATTAGATGTGTGATTTTGATGTTGTGATGTAAGTTGGTGAGATAGA